TCTCAAGTCACTACTGTACAACCACACACACACACACACACACACACACACACACACACACTCTCTGCAACTCGGTGTGGTCACTGCTGAGCCTTAGAACCTCTTCTATCTCTATGACCATTAGGAACGCCACCACCCCATACTGTCCCTATTCCAGAACCTCAAGAAACCCATTGCAATTATATTGCTTCCTACTGAACATTTACTTTTACTTTTGGAATGTCACGGGGCCAAGGGCCTTACGTGTAAGCTCCGTAGGAAGTATAACTTGTAGATTGTATGAGATCTCCATTCCACCGATGCCAAGACTGGCTGGGGTATTCTGTATTAGCCCTAGTTACAGAATTGGTATTTAAAGCCAATCCTCTGTGCAAACTCCCCGCCCCCCCCACTGCCCGTGTTTTTAACGTGAAGTCACATGGAGAATCCACATACATATGGCCTGCAGATGTGTTTCATCTGCTAGAGAAATAATTTATCAGCACTCTAAAATAAGAAAGGCTCAACCCCAAATCTATATTCCAGACTCCTTTGGATGACAGAAGGGCTTGTCACTAGCCCTACATTTTGTGTGGAGTGCAAGCAAGTGGCAGCCATATTCTCTGCCGGGGCACTTGGTCCCTGCTTCCTCCAGTGTGCCGCCGTGGCTACTGCTCCCTGCCGCATTGCAACCACTGCCCTTCACCGGTCACCATTTTCTAGCCAACTCTTGCTGGCATTTGAGAGTTTTCACTCCGGTTGCATTTTTGCATCTTGTTACTAGACTCTGTCCTGGCTTTCATTCCTTGCGTGTATGTGTTTGTGCATGCGCATGTGCTGTACTGAGACTTGAACTCAGGGCCTGCCTCATGCTCCTGCTTAGCTTTTATGCTCAAGGCTGGCATTTACCCACTTTAGCTAGGCCTCCACTTCCAACATTTTTTGCTGGTCAATTGTAGGTAAGAGTCTCTTGAATTTGTCTGCCTGGGTTGGTTTCAGATCATGACCTTAAGAGCTTAGCTTCTTGTGTAGCTAGGATCACAGGCATGAGCCATCAGCTCCCAACACTTTATTTATTTATTACTACTACTACTACTATTATTATTATTTGTTGGTTGTGGGACTTGAGCTCTGAGTATGGGGGCTGTCCCTCAGCTCTTCAGCACTCTACTAATTGAGCCACAGTTCCACTTCTGGTTTTCCGTTGGTTAATTGGAGTTAAGAGTCTCATGGACTTTGCTGCCCGGGCTGGCTTTGAACTATGATCCTCAGATCTTAGCCTTCTGAGTAGCTAGGAATTACAGGCATGAGCCACCAATGCCAGGCTTTTCCTTATTTTTTTTAAGACCCTCATCAATTGTACATAATCATGGGGTTTGGTGTGATATTTTGACACATGGTCCATTCAGTGTGCACTGACCAAATCAGCATAATAAACAATTTCCTCTCCTTAACATTTCTGACCATCTGGATTGTATGATAAAATAACTTGTTCACTGTTGTTACGTGTTTTGAGTTCCTTATATATTTTGAAGATTAGTCTTTTGTTGGGTGAATAGCTGTGTATTATCCCTCCATTTTGTTGGTTCTTCTGTGATGTGGCAGCTTTTTCAATTTTATGTCATCTCGTTTGTCTGTTTTTGCTTTTGTTTCCTTTGATGGCCTTCGGAATCATATAAAAATCATTGCCTATATTGGTGTCTTGGAGTATTTCCTCTGTGATTTCTTGGAGTGGTTTTACAGTTGCAGGCATTACATTTGGGCCTTTGATGCATTTTGAGGTGACTGTTGACAGGATTAGAGAGAGAGGAGGTCATGCTTCGGTCTTCTACTTGTGAGCGCTCTGTTTTCTCAGTACTCTTTGTTGAAGAGCCTTGCATTTGGCACCTTCATGGAGAGTCAGTTGGCTGTGGAGTTTTCTTTATTCAGTGTTGGGGACCCCTTGTCTGTTTCACTGGACAACGTGCCTGTTTCTGTGCAAGTACCTCCATGTTCTGGGTCTTCTGACTCTGTGGTGTGCCTTGAAATCAGGTATTGTGGTGCTTTCTGTTTTCTTCTTCAGCTTCAAGGTTGCTTTGGCTCTTCAGGGCCATTTGCATTTTCATATGTATTTTAGAATTTTAAAACATTTCTGTCAAGAATGCCCTTGATCTTTTGATGAAAGTTGCCAAGACCCTCTTACTCACTTTGAATAGCATGACCATTTTTTTGAAAAACAGTGTTAGTGTTCACAATATTAGTTCTTCTCATTCATGAACACCATAAATCCTTCCATATTTTGTATTTGTCTTTGGTTTTTCTCATTAATGGTTTGTACTTTTCATTGTAGAAATCTTTCAAGGCCTCATTTAAATTTATTCATAATTTCTTCAACAAGTTCACTTTTTGTAGAAAAAGGAAAGCCATATTGCTACTCATGGGCTAGACTTGGTGGCGCACACCTGATTACACAGCAGTTGGGAGGGAGATGAAGGAGGACAGAGTTTAAGGCAAGTCTGGGCTATGCAGTGAGACCATTTCCCACACTACTGATTTTTGTATGTTGATTCCATATCTTGAAACTTGACTAAATTAGTCTATCCATTCTAATACTCTTTTGGTATGTAAATTTCCCTACTTCCTGTTTCCTAAGCCACAATATAAAACCTTGAGCTTCTGTCCAAGTGGATTCGAGTTGTATGTTGACTTGGACAGCTTCATTTCCAGAACACATTTCTTTAGATTAAGAAAAAGAAAATTTTAATTACTTTTATTGCCACATTCAATGAGCAAATTGGATCTTTCATACTTCAATGGCTATACTGTATTTTCTAGACACACAGAAGAATAATTTTATTTTGCTCCAACATTAAGACATTTGAGATATTCAGTCTTATTAAATAACATGTTCAATACTGATAACATATAACTCTGTCATATGTTAGTAAGTGTGTAAGCACCCTCTTTCAGTCAGAATAAATGGAACAGGTCTCACAAAAGATGGAATTATCTTTCACTCTGGGCTGTCAAAGGGCTCTTTTGAGAATTCAGATATTATTGAAACAGATTATATGGTACGTTTTTAGTATAATTTCTACAATTTTTAAGAGCTACCAGGAAGATTATAAAATGTTGAGCAGCATTGAATTTTTTTTCTATTTCTATGCAGAGAAATTCCAAATTGATTATACCCATTATGAATGGTACTTCAAACAATTAAATCTGGGAACTATTTTTGTTTTCACTAAATCTGTAACAATAACTCTAAAAAGTGTCAATATTGCTAGGGAGTTCTGTGTGATGAGTAAATATAAACTTAAATATTGGTAAAAGGTCAGGTGGGATATTAAAATGTAAATGTACATCAGTGCAATTATTGAACTTTAATTCCTACATTTAAGAAGTATTTAATTTTAAATTACTTTTAACATATTAAAACACGTCTAGGTCTTGTTAAAAAAATCATTAAATACATACACTTCTGGATACACAGATGTATAGGCACATGGACACACACACACATTTTCTATGGACATAGAAAACAGAACAAAAGTCACCTACATAATGACCACCTATGCAGTTCAAAACATTAACATCTTTAGATAATTCTACATATTATAGAATTCATGTAAGTGTCCAATTTCCATGTAGTAAACTTTACTCTTTCAAAGTAAATAAATCTTTTTAAAAAAATCAAACCTATAGCATTGCATAACCGTCACCACAGTGTAATATGAGAACATTTCCTTCCACCCCAGCCGACCAGTCTTCCTGTTGCAGTCACACACCCTTCCGCCCAGCCCCGCAGCCCCTTCTCCATTCCCTCTGCTTTCCTTTAGGTAATCATCCACTCATTTGGGCATCTTTCTGGACTGTGAATACACTTGTCTACACATCTGCCGATGCCCACACACATGTGTGCATGCATCCCTAGGAGTGTATATGTGCAGTCACGTATTTTATATTTCAGCAACAGTGGAATCACAGGGTTTAACTGGGGAGAAGGGGGTTGGTCATGGGGCTTGAACTCTGGGCCTGGGAGCTGTCCCTCAGATCTTCAGCTTAAGGTGGGCCCTCTACCACTTGAGCCACAGTGCCACTTCCAGTTTTCTGGTAGTTAATTGGAGATAAGTCTCACAGACTTTTCTGCCCTGGGTGGCTTTGAACCTTGATCCTCAGATCTCAGCCTCTTGAGTAGCTAGGATTACAGGTGTGAGCCACTGGTGTCTGGCTATGTGGTTTAATATTTTAACGCATAATTACCAAAGCTAAGGGATGCAATGTTGTTGATTTGTGACATATGTGCAAGCTCCTACCACAGGGAACAGTTGAATTCTTTGGACTCCATTTATTTTATTTTATTTTTGGTTGGTCATGGGGTTTGAACTCTGGACTTGGGTGCTGTCCCTGCGCTCTTCAGCTCAAGGTGAGTGCTCTACTGCTTGAGCCACAGTGCCACTTTTGGTTTTCTAGTGGTTTATTGGAGATAAGAGTCTCACGGACTTTCCTGCCTGGGCTGGCTTTGAACTTTGATCCTCAGATCTCAGCAATCCTGAATAGCTAGGATTATAGGCAGGAGCCACCGGTGCCTGGCCTTCCATTTATTTTTTATGTGTAAACAAGTTGCAATTGTGTGTGTGTGTGTGTGTGTGTCTGTGTGTGTCTGTGTGTGTGTGCGTGCACACACGTGCATGTGCGCGAGGATGTTTGCGTGTGTCAATACTGGGGTTTCAACTCAGGGCCTGGGCACTGTCCCTGAGCTTTTTTTTTTTTTAACCCACTTAGGCATACCTCCATTTCCAGTATTTTTGGTGGTTAATTGGAGATAGTTGGAGTACAGACTTTCCTGCCCAGGCTGGCTTTGAACCGTGATCCTCATATCTCCACCTGCTGAATAGCTGGCATTACATTGATGAGCCACCCTCCCCATTCCCCACACTCAGCTAACAAGGTGTAATATTTGAAACCTCTCCCCCCCTTTCTCCCTCCCCTCTCTCTCCCTCTTGTCCTCTCTCTCTCTCCCTCTCTCTCTCTCCATGCAGGCTACTTCGGCTCTGCCTGTGAAGAAAAGGTGGATCCCTGTGGCTCGTCGCCATGCCAGAACAATGGCACCTGCTACCTGGATGGGGTGCGCTTCACCTGCAGCTGCAGCCCCGGCTTCACCGGGCCGACCTGCGCCCAGCTGGTGGACTTCTGCGCCCTCAGCCCTTGCGCCCATGGCACGTGCCGCAGCGTGGGCACCAGCTACAAGTGTCTCTGCGACCCAGGTTGGTACCGCCTGCAGCGGACGGCAGCCGTTCCTTTTCCCCAGCACCATAAGACTTAGTTTTTAATTTGCATCTGAGCAAATGTCAACCCACAGGGCGTGGAACGGCTGGGAATAGAAGCACATTCTACCCACTGGTGACAGCCTTCATCTTTAGACTTGCTCTGGGCAGAGATTTAGCAAAGCCTCTTCCCGCTTTACAGTCCTGGTAGAAAAACACCAGAAGACACAGAAAGCAAAAAAGGAAAAAAAAGTTTAAATGGGCTTATTCTTACCACATGGTTAACTACTTTTTCCTTTCTCAACAGTTTACGACAGGGTATTCTAGAGCATGGATAGAGGGCGTTTCTGACACTCCGGTGTGTGTGACAAAATGGAGCTTTCCATGGAATGTTCAGGAAAAGGGTACTGCAGTCCGTGTGGAACTGGGCCAGCTATTAAAATTCCTACCCTGCGCGCGCCGCACCACACCTCTGCCTTGCTGTGTCTGCATCCAAAGCTTCCAGCGCTTCTTTCCCACACATCTTCTCCATGTGCAGCGCTGATTGTTTTTTCCAGAAGTCAGGGTGATGACTGCCTCCACTTGGTGTCTTCCCAGCCTTCTGGTGTGGTCTGACAAGGATGGACGCACACTCCTTTCTTTTCTGTCATTTCTATTCTGCCCACGTTCCCCTGGGTGCACATGCTTCTCTTTAGAATGCTTCTCAGAGCAAGTCCTCACACATGCCCCTGGCCAGGCAGCGTGGTGGCCAGCGCCTGGGTTCCCTTGTCCCGGGGCTCTGCCGTCTGTCTGCCATGGTCTTTACATCATATATTTGGGTATCACACAAAGACGGTATAGACTACATATACAGCAATGGTCCTTAGTGTTACACAGCAACCGGTGTCCCAGCTTGAGCAAGATCGTTCTGTGATGTTTGCGCAGAGATGGAGTCACCCAGCAGTGAGCACCTCAGGACCTGACCCCTGTCCTTAAGTGCATTGATGTATTAATTATGCTCATTAGTCTCTTTCTCCCTAAGGGATTAAGGGAACTCTGTGTATGTATGGGTGGAGTTTTTGTTTTTGTGCTGGTCCTAGGGCTTGAACTCAGAGCCTGGGTGCTGTCCTAGAGCTGGGTGTCAAGGCTAGTACTCTACCACTTGAGCCACAGCTCCACTTCAGGATTTGTGTTGGCACTTCATTAGAGATAAGAGTCTCACAGACTTATAGGCTTTGCTGCCTGGGGTCACTGTGAATCTTGGTGATCTTCATACCTCAGCTTCCTGAATAACTAAGTTTATAGGTACAAAGCACCAGCATCAGGCAGTACGTGTGAGTGTGTCTTTTCCTTTTGAGTTTGAGATGGAAACAAATGATCTTTAAGTAGCTGTACAAGGGAGATGTCATTTAGCAAAGCCGGTCATGGATACAATGCATCTTGATTTACGTCACCCCTTCAACAGTCTTATCCCCCTGCGGGTCCTTTTGTCAGACAGGCCCAAACCACCATTGAATGGGTGGTAATCTTTCTAGGTTCCCAGCTTGGTGCCTGGCATCTCTGCTCCTTTCAGGGACCACATCCACGCTGAAGTTGGAAATGCCTCTGCAAGCTCGTTACTGCTTAGGACCTTGCACCCAGTTGGGGGCCAAGCCCAGGTTCCAACCCAGATGCTTCGGTTTCAGCGACCTCCTATGGCTGGCCGGTAAACTCCAGAGGTCTCCTATGCACAAACCAACCCGAGGAGCAAGTGGCAGATGCAGCTCAGTGGTGCAAGGGTGTTGAAAAGCCCTTTTCACATAGACGCTTAATTCTCTAAGCAATTGATACTTTGCCAAGTTCCTCTTTTCCTCTCCGCTCTGAAACACAGAGGAGGGGCTGTTTAATCTGCTTGGGAATAGCGTTGAGATTCTCCAGAGAAACAGGAGGGAGGAAGGCAGAGGGAGGGAGAGCGAGATTTATTTTAAGTAACTGGCTCCTACAATTGTGGGGACTGGCAAGTCCAAACTCTGTAGGGGAAGCTGGCAGCCTTCTGTGTTGCGCCAGGAAGGGTTTCTGTGTTGTGATTGAAGGCTGAGTTTCTGCTTTCTGAATTTCAGAGAAACCCTCGTCTTAGTTGTTCAGGCCTTCAAATGATTAGATATGGCCCACCCACAATGGGCCATGTGCTCTACTCAGAGCTGACTGCTTTCAGTGTGCATCTCACTTAAACATTATGTTTATTGCAATGTCTAGATTAATATTTAACATTTTTTTTCTGTGACAGGGTCTCCCTATGTAGCCCAGGCTGGGCTTGAACTCAGCTTCTTCCTTCCAAGTACATACAGTTATGGTTGCCCTACCTGGCCAATGGGTATTTGAGCAGGTATCTGGACACCTGGCCTTGCAGCCTTAGAGCAAGAAAGTGTCTCTGAGTCTGCCTATGATATGAGCGTCGTTGTTGTTGTTTTCCTGGGTGGGCACCAGTCTTTTCCTGCTGGAGCTGTGGTGGTGGGTGTCGGGATATAGCTGCCTCCTGGGCGTTTGCTTTTCATCTGTGTGGGCTGGGTGCTGAGGAAGGCGGCAGCATGGAGCAGTGCCCTGCCTTCTGCACCGGAAGCACAGATGCCTGGGCCAGTTCAGGGTTTGCAAGCGGGAATGAGCTATAGGCCTGGGAGAACCAAGTCTCACCCATGGCGTGGGCCACGGGTGCTGTGCTCACAGATGCCGTGACGCGGGGCCGGTTTCCCTCAGCAGCAACAGAAGGGAGGTGCCCACATCCAGAACTTGCTCCATGCTCTTGCCTGCCTCCAAAAGTCCCTCTTCCCTTGGGGAAGCCCCACAAAGACACATCAAGTAGTACAAGAGCCAGAAACAGCTTTCATTTCCCTTCTGACTCCCTTTCTTGACCATATTAGTGTTTCTCCATAGTTGATTGGTTTCTTTTCTTTTTTCTATTATTCTATTCTTCTTCTTATTATTATTTTGGTGCTGATAATGGGGTTTGAACTCAGGGTCTTGCTGTTTCTTAGCTTTGGTTGTTCAAGGCTGGAACTCTACCATGTTAGCCACTTCTGGTGTTTTGGGAGTTAATTGGAGATAAGAGTCTCATGGGCTTTCCTGACTAAGCCAGCTTTGAACCATAATCTTTAGCTCTCAGCCTCCTGAGTATCTAGAATTAGACGCTACTGACTCCTGGCAATTGGGTTATTTTTTTAAAATTTTAGATCAAGTTCAGTTATTTAAGGATAAATAATGTTTCTTAATAATACCTTGCAGAGTTTTCAACACCATAGATGCATGGATTGATTAGTACCTGAGATCTCCATTTATTGATTCTGACCTTAGGGGATTTATAGGGCATTTCCTCCTTGCTTGAAAGCCAGAGAAAGGTCCTGTATGAGAGCAACCAATGAGAGCCATGCAAACCCTTTTCAGACAGGACCAGTCAAATCTATTCAACCTCCTCTCCTTCTACCCACAGAGATCCCAGCACTCCCTCCCCAAGGCAGAGTGCTGAAGTAGCCCCTATTTGCATTCTACTTTTCCCGTCTCTGTTCTCTGCTAAAACTTCATCCATATGCATTTGGAACATTGAACTTGTGAATGGCCTGTGGTCCAGTGACAGCCCCCAAGCGGCCTTGGAAGTCTGCAGAAATGTGTCCGGCTTTTCTACCATACATTTTTTAGGTAGTCTCCAGTGGAGCCTTGGGGTTCTGTCTGAAGGCCTCACTCATTAAACCTGGGAGATAAAGTCACTTCCTGAGAGGGTGATTTAGGCGACTTTGTGTGAAATATATTAAAAAAATAAAACTATTGTAACATCTGGCAAAAATTTACATTTTAAGAGGTGAAAACACGTCTGTGAATGTACAGTTTTTTTTTGTCTTCATCTTTTGGAGCATGTAATTGCTTCACCACTAGTTAGCATAATAGAAGACAATGAGGAGAATGGGTGAAGTTGGGTGTTGGGCTGTGGAGGGTGAGCCTGATCACGTTGGTGGAGACAAACAGATCCCATTTCACCAGTGGCAGTAGATTGAAACCATATCAGGTGGGTAATTGGTTCCCATCTGAATGTAACAAAGAGACATTTTGATCAGGTGAAAACAGATTTGTCAGGCGCTTTATTTCCAAGCGTCAGCTTTGGTTTTGCAGATCTAGGATTTCTGACGGGGTTTTAATATGAAATAACAGAATGTCAGCTCAGAGCAATCATGGAAACGTTACCTCCCATTGACAGTGCTAAGTGAGAGGCCACCCATTTTCTAAACATAAAAAATCACAAATCGAAGTCTCCAGAAAATGAGAGAAAGTAAGATCTTAGAGCAGCTGCAGGCCTCACGAGTGACACTGGCCGGCACTGCGGGTCCGTGCAGGTGGCATCATGGTATCGCACGTGCCCTCAGTAGAACGTGGCACCTGCACAAGAGCCCGCTGGGGGAGGATCACCTGAGGTGATTGGTCTGGGCCCCTGACCAATACACTCGAATTATTACTCCACACTTGTTGCTCAAACAGGCATTTAAATGATAAGGTATTTGTCATGGAAATGTATACGTCAGTATTAATATCATTATCAATATGAATAGTGTCTTTGATTTCTTCAGTTCCAGGACTGGACCTGGGCTGCTGCTGGCTACACATCCCTCTGTCAGTCATCTGCACAAAATGGCTGGGGGTTAAGCTAGCTATATAATAGACTTTAAAATAGAGGACGTGTAGGCTTTTCCCTAATGAGATGTTTTTTTTCTTTTCTATTTTTTCTTTTTCTAAAGAAACTATATGTATAGGAATTGGAATGATTATTTTTTTCCCGTGTTTTACATTTGTCTTACCTGCAGGCTGCATTTCTTTTCTCTGTGGCCAGTAGATAGGCACCTCTGGTGTTGCCTCCTACTGTTACATTCGTTCAGACTTAGCAATATCAGTGCTCTGACAGTATCTATAGGAAACAGAATTACATGTGAGAATTGATGGTCAGGATTAGAGTTTCCTCAGGACCAGTGATCACAACTGAGATAATGTTGAGCCATGCCATG